GGGGGGGGGGGGGGGGGGGCAAGAAGCATTGTTACAGCAGGGAGAGGGCCAATAAACTGCTTGTCTCAAGAATTTTTGCACGCGATTGTAGGGTAGACCTAGGGTAGGCTTTGGGTAGGTTATGGGTAGGCTTAGGCAAGACTTCGGCTAGACTTAGGGAAGACTTATGCAAGACTTATGTAAGGCCTCGGCGAGACTACCCCAAGCGTGGGGCGGCGCGGGCGTGGTGACGTCATAGGTTGCGTGATCAAAAATCTGCGCAGAAGGGGTGCGCAGTGGTTAATTGATTTTGAGCAAAATTATCCCTCATTATTCCTTATTATCCTAGTGGACCAAAATTATCCCTCATTATCCCTTATTATCCTAGTGGACCAAAATTATCCCTCATTATCCCTCATCCCTAATTATCCTACTGTTCCAGAATCGGCGTTTCCCTACTACTAAACATTTAATCACTAATTTCCCTCAAAGCATGCGTTTACTTATAATAAACGGTTTAAATCCATCTCTTCACTAGTTGGCATGGATGGTACATCCAACCTTCTGGCAAACGGGTGCCAAAACTACGATCTTTCTGAACTGACCGAGAAACTACAGGCCGTTTTTACCGCCCCTTGGAATGGAATGATGTTAGACAATGCTGCTAGTTATGACCTAAATAATGTGCAACACCATCTTAAAGAAACTGATCCCCCCCATACCATCGATAGGTCAGGTGAAAAAGGCCCTTAATGCATTAAAGGCAAAGGAGGCGATTGGCATTGATGGAATCCCTGCGTGGTTCCTGAAGCAGTATAGTGAAGACTTAGCTCCCGTAGCACATAACATCACCACGAGTAGTATAATTCAATGTAAATACCCCACCTTGTACAAACAAGCTCTAATAACCCCTGTGCTTAAAATTACTCCACCAAAAAATATTGAAACTGATTTTCGTCAAATTTCTTTGCTTCCACAGTTAGCTAAAGTGCTGGAAAAGATTCAATTGCAACTAAATTGTGCAGATCTCACATTAAAAGATAACCAACATGCATTTCTCAAGGGCCGTTCTACAATCTCAGCATTGATTGAAATTTCACAAAAATGGTTAGATGAAACTGAAAACACTGCGCATGGCAGAAAAGGTATCCATGCTATTTTCATTGACTTTAGCAAAGCGTTTGATATGGTGGACCACCGAATTCTCCTTTCTAAATTGGCCTCTATGAACTTAACTAAATATTTTTGTTTCGTTCCCCGCAGGAACGAAACGGTACTGTATTTGGTTTCGACCAATGTCACAGGAAAGTGACGTCAGATATCAAAGTTATCCAATCCTTTGCCAGTATTCTTGCTGAAACGTCAATTACATTTAGAATCGTCCAATGAGATGACCGCTCCTAGCATAAGAAGTTTTTTGGAGGCGTGGCGTATAATTGGGAATCTTAGTTAATTATATGTCAACTTGTCAAGCGAAGTTCTATCCGCTTTGTGTGACGACGTGGTGTCCTAGATTTTAGCCAGAATAAAAGGCTCTTGCTTGGCCTTAATTCATCTAAGCCTGGCCCTTACTCTTGAATTTAGTCTTTTTGGGACCGCGGGAACAGTTTGACCAAGCTAAGAATAAATACGGGGGGGGGGACATGCTGCGCTTGGCCAAATACTTCATGCGAAAAATTAAAAACGAAGAAATATGTATACCGTAATTACTCGAATAAACGCCTCCCTCGAATTAACGCCGCAGGGACAAGCAAAAATTAAACGCCGCCCTTGAATAAACGCCGCATTATTTCTCATCGATGCGGCGTTTATTCGAAGCATTCATAACATATGAACTTTATTCTTAGTTTTTTGGGTTAAGTGTTGAAGTTGAGTTTTAATTAAACAATAAATGCACACTTGTTGTTACAAAATTTGCAATAAACGCCGCCCTCGAATAAACGCCGCACCTTGAGCGCAAAAAATTTAATAAACGCCGCGACGTTTATTCGAGTAATTACGGTATATTAATTATAGGCATATAATTATATAATTGCACTCTCGTTTCCGTATGCTCTTGTAATATATAAATAGGAACTCCGTAACATGTTTACAACTTCTAGGCTGCTTTCGTTATCTAAATTTGGAAATGGCGTAGATATCTATGGGCGTGACACGTATTGGTATTAAAAATAGTAGCGTAAATGTGACTCTGATGTAATCTTTCTACTGTCAATCATTTTTAAATCAACCTATCAAACGGACAAGAATGACGAATTGCAATGTTAACTCCAAAACTAAGTTTAGGACATCATTTGGCCCTGTGATCTAGGAGTGGACGGAGTGAGAAGATATGCGATTTTAATGTTTCAAAATTAATAATGAGTTTATTTACAAATTAACCAAGAAAATCGTGTCGTAACGTTTTTGTCCCATAAACAGAACTTTACAAAATATATAAACTGTTCTATTATCTTGCCGAAGGGGTTTCATCTTGATTTAAAGTCATCATGTTGTTTTATTGACAAATATACACTGACGCCATTTTGAATCTCATGAATCTCATAGGAGGTTAGAGTTAGGGATGGGGATTGGGCGAGGTTTCGTGATTGCGTGACATGAAAACATAACTTGAATCTCGACTTTCCCCACATATTCTTTTTGCTATTTTACGACATGGCAGCATTAACAAAAGGCGACAAAGTCATTAGCCAATGAGATTGCTTATCGCAGGTGGGTATCAAATCTAGCAGGTGAGTATATCAAATCATCGCGGAAGGCTAGCGCTGTCGACCAATAAAAAGGGTTTTTGAAGCTCATTTATGGGATAATGAAAATTACTAAAACGTGCAAAAAATTACCAAAGCCCGCCCGCCTCGCAAAATGGCCCGATTTCATTGCTCGTCATATACAAGTGATCTATGGTGACAACCGCTAATTACAGACGTCTAGTATTTCTATAATTATATTGGAACGAAACATTATTTCTTTTTTTAAAGAAATATTTTCTTGTTGGCTGCGGATTCGAGATTTCCTATCCATGAGAAGTCAACAGGTAAAGCTACTTCAAATGTTGTCATCATCCGCTCCATGCCCAACTGGAGTTCCGCAAGGCTCTGTCATCTCTCCTATGCTATTTAATGATCTAGAGGATGAAATCCCTGCAAACCTAACCGTCAATACCTAACTGTCGATACCTATACATATAAATCGATGATCTAGAGGATGAAATCCCTGCAAACCTAACGGTCGATACCTCGAAGTATGCCGATGACTGCACACTCGATCAAGCAGTTAGAGCTGGGGAAATAAGCCATGTCAAACAGGCTCTAGACATTATCCAAAATTGGTCAGTGTCGAACAAAATGACTATCAACATAAAATAAAATAAATTAAAGGACATGTGGATATCCTTCACGGAATCAGTATTGGAACCTCCTCCTGTTTGTATCGGTGATGAACTAGTTGAAAGAGTGGACAAATTTAAACTACATGGAATGGGGCTTCAAAACAACCTCAAATGGAACAATATGTTGAAACTGTTATATACAGAAAGCTAACCGTCAAGTATATATCTTAAGAGAATGCAGGAAAGCTAATCTACCTGTGGAAGTAGGTATTACCTTTTATAAATCCAATATTAGATCTATTCTTGAATATGCCTCACGTGTTTGGGGTGGCCTTCCAACCTATCTGGTAAATGAAATTGAACGAACCCAGACCCGCTGCCTCCGAGTTCTTGGTTACAACATGACTGTCTACAAAGCCTCTCTGATCGAAGAGAAGAACTTCTGAAACGTGAAGCGCGGAAGTCCTGGGTGATCTGAAACAAATAACGATTCAAATATTCCAACAAAGAAAATAAAATCATTATATGAATTATACGGTCCAATTAACACAACTGATAGATGAAGCTACTCGAATAACTCCAACAACCACCAGTCTTATTGATCATATTGTTACTAATATACCAGATAAAATCTCTGATTCTGGTGTCATTCACACAGGTCATTAGTGATCATAGCTTAGTATTTGCAATCAGGAAAATTTCTATTGTTACAAAACAAGAAAATACTCTTTAGAAACATGAAACATGAAATTAGAAACATGAAAAATTTTGATGAAGGAAAATTTATTGAAGAACTGCTAAAACACAGGGAATATGTGTATTTTTTTGCTGATGATCCAAATGCCATGTGGGAAATTTGGAAAAATTTATTTCTTGAAGTCCTAGACAAACATGCACCACTTCAGCAAAAGAAGATAAGATCGAAAAAAGTCCCATGGATTACAAGTGATATAAAGAGACTTATGAATACAAGTGACAAGTTTAAACGAAAACCCATTTTGACAAACCATGAGAATGATTGGTTTAGATAGAAGTCTTTATTTAAAGTCATACTGCGCAACAAAAACGTGCGTGCAAAACAGCTAGAAATAAAGTAAATATAGAACTAAGAAATGCCAAAAAAGATTATTATTCCTCGAAAATAGCCGGTCAAAAAATTAATCCCAAGAAAGCTTGGAAAAGTATAAACAACTTGTTAGGTAGGCAAAACAAACCAACAGTGGTAAATGAACTAAATGTAGGTGAACAAAATTTGACAAGTCCTGAAGATATTGCGGAGGGCTTTAATGAATATTTTTCAAATATTGGCCCAGATCTAGCTAGCAAAATAGATTATTCAAATTCCAATTTTGAAACGTATGTCAAAAATGCTCAATCAGAATTTGCTGCTTTCCAACCTGTTACTGTCAGTCATGTCTCTCATCTTTTGCATGGACTTTCCAACAATAAAGCCACTGGTATCGATAAAATCTCTTCCAAAATTATTAAATTAGCTGCACCTGTCATCTCCGATTCACTAACACTTATTTTCAATCAGGCTATTACTTTATCTTTTTTTCCTGATGAATGGAAGGTAGCTAGAGTGATGCCTCTATATAAAAATGGCCAGCGCAGTATTCCTGGAAACTACAGACCAATATCAGTTTTACAGGCCATTAGTAAAATTATGGAACGGATATTGTATGATCAACTGTATAACTACTTAACAAAATTTGAGCTTCTCAGTGATTCCAGTAGTAATATACAGGCCGATCGACCCGGATTTTTGCGGTGGTAGCGGCGGTGGTGGTGTGTGGTGGAGGTGGTGGAGTGTGGTGGAGTGTGGTGAAGTGAGTAAATGTCAACTGATTCCTAACATTAAATAGTTGTGGCCCCAAAGGCCTTTTTGAAGGTTTGCCGGAACTTGGGAGAGGGTTCGAGAATTGGGTTAGGGGAAAATAGCTACCACACAGGATCGTATTTTATTTTTATAAATCAAACACAAACAACCATTAAGAGTCAATATCACTACGATACCGTGTGTTTCTGAAAAGTCTTTTCAAAAGAAATTTTCTCTTGTCAATAGCGGCCTCTAACGCTTCCCTGTGGTCGAAATTATCATCATTGACAAAGACATCCCTGGTTTCCATAATCTTTTTGTGTATTGGATCTCTCTTTAGTTGTCTTATCCATAGTAGACGTTCCAAATAAATATTCTGCAAATCTTTACGAAGTTTTGGTAGGATAAGTAAATATGCCTTGTCTTTAGCTTCGTTTTCGTCAAAACCTTCTGCAGTGAAATTCTGCATTAGTTCTTGGAATTCCGATAAACTTTGTTGGGTTGCTTCAGCTTTTAAAGGAGCCCATGGATCGCTTTCGTATTCATCACCTTTTTCACTACTAGTATTATCTACATTATCAGAATCACTCTCTTACACAGAATCAGTTTCCACTTCGTTGTCAGTGTTATACGAATTCTTAACATCACTCTCTGATGTAGCACTATCAGAGTCTGCAACCGTTCTCATTCTTTTCATCTTTACACTGAAATCTATAGTAGGTTTCCAACAGTACTGTATTTCCTTCGTATATTGTTAGGTTGAAACAACTCCAACCACAACCAACCGGCGAATGATCAATTTTTAGAACAACATTACATTTTATGAAGTGGACTTAAGGGACTTTTCTATGGCCTTGTGGCCCGATTGGTGATTGGCTGGGACACTTCCCACCAAACCTCCCCACCAATAGGATTCTAGAGAATCGAGCCACAAGGCCATAAAAAAGGCCCTTGGGGCCAATGTGAAAAGTGGACCCAAGGGCCTTTTCTACGGCCTTGTGGCCCGATTGGCTGGGATGCTTCCCACCAATAGGATTCTAGAGAATCGGGCCACAAGGCCATAAAAAAGGCCCTTGGGGCCAATGTGAAAAGTGTCCCATCCCAACCAATCATCAATCGGGCCACAGGGCCGTAGAAAAGGCCCTTGGGGCCACTTTTCACATTGGCTCCAAGGGCCTTTTTTATGGCCTTGTGGCCCGATTCTCTAGAATCCTATTGGTGGGGAGGTTTGGTGGGAAGTGTCCCAGCCAATCACCAATCGGGCCACAAGGCCATAGAAAAGTCCCTTAAGGCCACTTCATAAAATGTAATGTTGTTCTAAAAATTGATCATTCGCCTGTTGGTTGTGGTTGGAGTTGTTTCAACCTAACAATATACGAAGGAAATACAGTACTGTTGGAAACCTACTATAGATTTCAGTGTAAAGATGAAAATAATGAGAACGGTTGCAGACTCTGATAGTGCTACATCAGAGAGTGATGTTGAGAATTCGTATAACACTAACAACGAAGTGGAAACTGATTCTGTGTCAGAGAGTGATTCTGATAATGTAGATGATACTAGTAGTGAAGAAGGTGATGAATACGAAAGCGATCCATGGGCTCCTTTAAAAGCTGAAGCAACCCAACAAAGTTTATCGGAATTCCAAGAACTAATGCAGAATTTCACTGCAGAAGGTTTTGACGAAAACGAAGCTAAAGACAAGGCATATTTACTTATCCTACCAAAACTTCGTAAAGATTTGCAGAATATTTATTTGGAGCGTCTACTATGGATAAGACAACTAAAGAGAGATCCAATACACAAAAAGATTATGGAAACCAGGGATGTCTTTGTCAATGATGATAATTTCGACCACAGGGAAGCGTTAGAGGCCGCTATTGACAAGAGAAAATTTCTTTTGAAAAGACTTTTCAGAAACACACGGTATCGTAGTGATATTGACTCTTAATGGTTGTTTGTGTTTGATTTATAAAAATAAAATACGATCCTGCGTGGTAGCTATTTTCCCCTAACCCATTTCTCGAACCCTCTCCCAAGTTCCGGCAAACCTTCAAAAAGGCCTTTGGGGCCACAACTATTTAATGTTAGGAATCAGTTGACATTTATCATTTGACATTATGCCTCGGAAGTGTAAAGATTGTCCCATCTGCGGCAAGCGAGCTTTAAAAAGATTGGCAAACCATTTGGCAGACGTCCATGAACTTTCGTCCCAAGAAAGACAACCTTATCTTATTCGTGCTAAGCCAACAGCTTTAGACTTAGAAAATGTTTTAACAGAGTTGTACAGATTAATTGGGAACAGTAAAAAGCAGTCAAAGTGGAATAAAAGCGGAATAAAGAATATACCCATCCGTCAACCAAAAT